AAAGAAATGCCCGAGAATTCAGAAATCATCAATATTTCTGCAAATCAATGATATTTCAGCTAAAAAATGTAACTCGAAGAACCCAGATGTGAAACCGCCCAATATAATACTAATGGATTGAAATCCCAAAATTTAATCAGGACGTACGTATATGATCAGAAGCATCGTATACAATCAAAATATGGAAGGAAGATTTAACGAACCTGGGGCGAGATTATTAGCCATTGCAGGAATGGAATTATCACCTCCGTAAGCATAAACATCATCGCCATACCCGCATCGGGACCCGCATCATACCGCTTCCCATATGGATCCGAACCCAAATCGGATCGGCTTCGGTTGTATCCCCCATACCTATCATCTAAATAGGAGCCGTCGGACCGACCGCCGTGATCAAATTTCAGAGAATTCTCGTATGGATTTTCATATCCAGAACACATACATGAGCGTATTGGAACAAGCTTTGGAATTTTTACCTTACAGAAGAAGCCGCGGACTTGGGTGCGCAGTCGATGGAAGGGAGGATAAGTTCGCGAGGAACTTGTCGGGTTTGCAATTAGAGATGGTTTTGTTTCTGATTCCGACAAGGTGGAATTGGGCTCGGGTATGCAAAGGTGGAGGCGTTTAGAAATTTCTGAAGAGGAAAGGCAGAGAAGCTGCGAGAGAGAAAGGAAAATGAGGAGGGAAAGCTAACGCGCTCTCTTTGAAAATAAGGAGTTAGAGATTTTGGGCGCTATGCCAAAATTTTGGCAGCGCTCCAAATTTTAATCTCCCGCCTTCTCCAAATGTTTTCAATTATGAAGAAAAAATTAAAAACATCCACCACGGGCCAATGGCGTGGTGAATTCACAAAAAACGATGTGGTAGTTTGACGTAACCACTACGAGCATATATGGTGGTAATTATGATATTCCATCACAAATATAAATGTCCGTTGTAGATTATTCGTTTTTAACAACGGGCCAAAATTTGACCGTGGTGGATTAATGTTATCTACCACAAGTTAAACTTGACCGTGGTAATTAAATAATTTTCACCACGAGTTATATATGCCCGTGATAGAATTGATGTGGTAGATGAACTGTTTTGTTCTAGTGAATCCACTATAATCCAAAACCCACGGCAATATTAAAAATATGTCATCTCATGCTTTAGCCATGCAAGTAACACTATACATGCCATTTGCTTAACAAATGTTGCCAAGTATGTATGACTTACTTTCCTGTATAGGAATGTTATCAAAAATTCATTAACTGACAAGTATATAGTTGACATGCATGAAACTTGGCATATGCTTCCCTGCAACATAACTGTAATATATATTACCACAATCATAGACATAGGCACAGCTCATATACCAATAATAGTATTGAGACAATCTAAAAGTGAACAATTCTGTCACATATATTCAGAAAGATGTCAAGCAATATTTGAATTGTTACGCCTCTTTCTTAATTCTAAGAATTAGGTTGCAGTTAAAACTGGATTATAAATAATCAGTTGGTTATGCTAGTACGAAAACTCTTCAATGCCACCAAAACAAGGAACCAAAAACATAATATTCCAAATAATGAGATGCCACGGTATAGGTAAGTTATGCAGGAACCAAATACTCACCTTTTAAATCCACCACAAAATCTTGTCAGCAATTAAGACCAAAGGAAAAGATGAAAACCCAAAATCCGAATTGAGTCGATGAAACATAATGCTCTGCTTTGGCAGAGGTCAGCTTACTAAATGGAAAGGCCGCATCACTTTTCCAATGTAAATGTATACTTACATATGCTTACAAATTTGACAAAGACATCCGTAGTACATGGTTAACTATTCCAACCAAAAACATCACTTTAAAAATGAAATAGAAAATCTGAAATATGCCATAGTTTCCAGTCCTAGTTAATCCAATGAACTAACTAATCAATATTCTTTAACATCCCCTTATCAGAACCATTGGTGGTAATCAAATTTGACTAATCAATTTGGCTAAAAATAAAAATTACATGTGCTAGCTTGATCAAAATACTAGCAATCTCAAGACTTTGGTGGTTCGACCAAAACATATTTTATGCAACAAAAATGCCTGATCAAAAGGCTATCAACTAAACCATATTATCTGTAATTATAATAGGTATAATCTGGAAAACTCTTGGAATTCGAAGCAATCATCACCATTATTTAAATTTCATGCTTCAATTCTATAAGAATATTATATATAAATTATATGCTTCAACTCCATAATTTAATTCATGCTTGATCAAAAGGGCCTCTAAGTGTAGTCCAATTTCCAATTGGCAAGCAAAAGCTATGTAATGCACTGCATAATCAGGCAACTTGTCTTGCTGATAATAATCAGGGTATCAATTAGCATAGTTCTTAATAAATTTCCCTTGATTGCAACCATGGTATTAGTGAAAAATATTCTTGATTAAAACTGAATAATTATACAACCTGATCATAATCAACAATTGAACTAATTCAAACAGCATGGTGATGTTGCCGAGTATATGCAATGATAATTTGGATTAAACACGCAGTTCAAGAGAATATTATATAATCCAACATTAAACCTAATAGGTTTTAATTATATAACTAGCGGCTCTGATACCAATTGTTAGCCTTATGAGGTTATACAATTAAAACACAAACGAATGAGTAATTGACCTGATTCCAATGGCGGCCATGGAAATCAAACACAAAAGTAGTAAGGCACGGCAACACCAGGATCTTCGTTAAACTCCTAGCCGGATACAACTACTCTATGGGAAGCATTATGTTGTGTTCTAGGGCTTATAGGGACCGGTGTTTTATATAGGCTAAAAGTTAGGGTTTCCATCCATAAACGAAACCTAAACTTTACTTTCTTAGCCTCCAAGTCAAGTATTATAATTATATTCAATTAAGGATTCCATCAATCCTATTTCCAATATAAGACACCTTATATAGGATTGATATCTTTAAGAGATCAAATCACAATCAACATTATTCTCCAATATTACATTCCTATTACATGTAGTAGACCACTTAAAAGGTCGATTTATATTGGATAAATCTAACATTCTCCCACTTGGTCTACAAAATGTAATATTCATGTTTATACTTGAGATTGGAGATTAATGTCACTTTAGTGGTCATGTAACAGTGATTACATCTCCTCCTTAATGCAGCTTCTGTCAAATGCATTTCTTAACATAGAACTAACAAAGTTGTAGGATTGACACAACCCAGAACCTTCATAATCACACATGCTAAGATCCTCATTCACATGAAACACAAATTATGATCAAGAGATGAAACTTTAAATAAACTTTAAATTAACCAAAATATCTTACCTTATATCATCTCAGGTCCACCTTATTGTAACTAACAAGTTACACTTTATGCTTTTTCGAATCCAAGGATGCAGTCTTGCAAACGAAGGCATACGTACAGGGTCTTCAATCGATCATAAGAAGAACGCGAGGAGGTGAATCTGGAGCTCTCACAAGTGAGGTTAACAAATACTTGAGGTCCAGGAAGATGGTTAAAAAGGCAATCCAGAAGGCTCTTAGCAACGATAATGCACTGTTTTAAGTTCATTATTTATTGTTTGGTTTGCCATTTACTTTCTTAGCCTCCAAGTCAAGTATTATAATCATATTCAATTAAGGATTCCATCAATCCTATTTCCAATATAAGACACCTTATATAGGATTGATATCTTTAAGAGATCAAATCACAATCAACATTAGGTTGAAAGTTTTGAGACTCTTGTCCCACATTGGGGAAAATAAGATTCCCAAGGGCCTTTATATAGATTTAATGTTTTATTCTAGTAATTACAACATGGGCCATTTGGAAATTGATTGAAGGCTTGGGCCTTATGGTTGTGTGGATTAGGCTTGTATAATATAGCCTAAATACAATTAATATTAATTAATCAAGACAAGGGCCTTGGGCCATTTAAAATTAATCTGATTCATTTACTTTTAATTTTCAGATTAAGTTTTTAATTAATTTATTAATTAAAAACGTTTTGATTAAAAGACACAGCTCTTAGAAAGAGTTGTGTACCTTCAAATACACTGAACATGTATTTGAAAGGGTGTGAAACAACCTATATATCTGCAATCACAGTTTCCAAATGGATCATCTTTTCTTGCTCTTTCCTTCTGTACGAATTTTCTAGAGAGTAAACACACAAAAAGCAAATTCGCTAGAGTTCTAGAATCCGGTGCGGATTGTAGAATTAGGTAGTTGAATCCTGGTCGAGCAGACGTTATAGAACCACAAGCACATGAGTGGGACGAAAATATTGTTCGAATGACATAGCTTTTACGCTAGCCTCTACCTTATGTAATCAAGTTAGTAACATTAATTTATGTATTTATTGTGTAATTTTCGTTTTGTATAGCAAGTATATTTTGGTTAATAAAATATTAGAATTTCTGTTATTTTTGTTTATTTCTGAATTGTTCTCCAACACATTATTCTCCAATATTATATTCCTATTACATGTAGTATACCACTTAAAAGGTTGATTTATATTGGATAAATCCAACATTCTCCCACTTGGTCTACAAAATGTAATATTCATGTTTATACTTGAGATTGGAGATTAATGTCACTTTAGTGGCCATGTAACAGTGATTACATCTCGTCCTTAATGCAGCTTCTGTCAAATGCATTTCTTAACATAGAACTAACAAAGTTGTAGGATTGACACAACCCAGAACCTTCATAATCACACATGCTAAGATCCTCATTCACATGAAACACAAATTATGATCAAGAGATGAAACTTTAAATAAACTTTAAATTAACCAAAATGTCTTACTTTATATCATCTCAGGTCCACCTTATTGTAACTCACAAGTTACACTTTATGCTTTTTCGAATCCAAAGATGCGGTCTTGCAAACGAAGGCATACGTACAGGGTCTTCAATCAATCATAAGAAGAACGCGAGGAGGTGAATCTGGAGCTCTCACAAGTGAGGTTAACAAATACTTGAGGTCCAGGAAGATGGTTAAAAAGGCAGTCCAGAAGGCTATGAAGAATCTTAAGGGAAGCGAAAGCAAATCCACATTCTCTTCTCTTAGCAACGACACCGAGACTGTTGCCATTATCAACAAGTTGAGAGATGTAAAAGAAATCACTCTCGCAGTGCTCGAATCTCTACTGTCCTTCATCTGTGGGCCAAAGTCAAAGCCAGGCAGCTGGTCATTGGTTTCTAAGATGATTCCCCCCAAAAAAATTGCCTGCGAGGAAGAAACCGAGGCAAATGAATTTGCACAAGTCGATGCTGTACTGCATAAGACAAGCAAATCTGATAACGCACAGAACCAGCTTGAGAAGCTGGAGTCATGCATTCAAGATCCTAAATCACTAAATCACTAGATGTTTATGTTCTTCTATTTTGTACATGAAAAACATACTAGTATAAACCTTACACATCAAATCAATTATACTTAATGATATACTCAATTTCAACTATTCTTGTTATTTGATCAAAAAGCTTTCATTTTGTGAACCGTTCATAAACTCTTCCTAGTACATTACTTTACAACCTTGCCACCGGGCTGATTTCAGCCCAAATTTTGCTTTATTTACAAGATTGCCACTGGGCTTAAGAACGGGTTTTCAGTCTTTGGGCTGGATCTGGGCTTTGACTCGGGGAGAGAGAGGGAAGGGGGACCGAAGGGTTGACGCGTTGGAGGGAGACGTTCGTGGGGATTTACGGGAGAGGATTCTCGGGAAATTTGGAAAATTAGCCAAACTTTGAAGTCTAAATAGAATTTTAACCAACAATTAAAAATTTTCATTATTCTAACCAAGACTTGACATAAAAATATTACAATATCCTTTCTTAACTAAACTAACTACAAAACTATATATTTTCCATTGTGCAGTATTTCCCTTCCATTTTTCATTCTCTCAATTACTTTGACCACAAGACATGAAAATACTACCGGCCAAACTTTCCCTGATCACTGAACCTGTTTATCTAACATCATATAGATTTTTCCCATACTCTTAAAAGCAATTATTTCATCAAATGGTGCTTTGTATATAGTTTCACTTGAATGCACTTGTGCTCGAGTCTCTTCCAATAGAGGATACAAATAAAGACCCAAAGTAATGCTGTATATATATATGGGGGATATATAGAAGAAGAGTGTAAGAAATGGAGGGGTTTGAGAGTAGGGTAGTATTCAAGAGGCTGAGTTCCTTAAGATCTCAACCAATTGCTGTTTTTTCACGGTTAAAAGCAATGAATAATTTCAGTAGGGTATATCAGTACTTTTATGTCAATTTTTTGTTGTAATTATCATATATTTAAAAAAAGGCCTAATCGGATAAATGGTCATCGTGGTCATATGGTATTCGGAAGATAGCCATGTGGTAAAAAAATTCGAATTTAAACCCCTGTGGTCTAAGTCTGTTAGGATTTATGCCCCAAATTAAAATTTCTGTTATTCCTCCGTTAGTTTAGGTGTTTTGGTTAAGGAGAACATTTGACTTTGGTCACATTTATTCCTCCCCATTCCCCAGCTCCGCCGCCGCTTCCCCGTTCCTCGCTTGGGTCGCCAGCCGTGCCAATTCCACCATCAAAATTCAAAAGATAAGGCTTTTGGGTTTTGACGTATTCTTCTCACTCAGGTGGATATGGCAGCTAGGAGACTCTCCTCCTTACTCTCTCGCTCCCTCTTAGCCGCTTCTCCTTCTTCTGGGTTTGCAGCTTCTCTGCTTCGCTCAGGAGGTGACACCTTCTTCCCACTTTTCTACTTTTTACCTTTTACAGTGTTGTTTCACTTGTTCTTCTGGTAATCTTTCATGGGTTTTCTTCATTCGGTTCCATGGTTTTTATGTTCTAACCACATGTGCAAGTAATTTTCTGTATGTGATTTGGGGTGTGTGTATACGCGTGTGTGTGTCTCTCTCTCTCGCTCTGGAATTTTTGAATGATGGTGGAGCCATCATACAGCCAAAGATGCATGGAGTTTTTAATTTTCGTGATTTAATACGACGAATAATACTCCTCACAGAGAAGAGTTAGCAGGCGACCCAGGCGAGGAACGGGGAAGCGGCGGTGGAGGAGCTGGGGAATGGGGAGGAACAAATGTGACCAAAGTCAAATGTTCTCCTTAACCAAAACACCTAAACTAACGGAGGAATAACAGAAATTATAATTTGGGGCATAAATCCTAGCAGACTTAGACCACATGGGTTTAAATCCGAATTTTTTTACCAAATGGGCTATCTTCCGAATACCATATGACCACGGGGACCATTTATCCGATTAGGCCTTAAAAAATGGCTATAATTCTATATAGAGAGTAAATTTTAGTTATTTTTCCAAATTTCCAGGATTCTCGGCAGGGACGTGGGGGTGGCTGTCCTGTGGCTGATGCATCGGTCAGAGGGTTGTTGGGGGAGGAGAGGAGGGGGCAGAGGGACTGACGGATTGGAGAGAGATGGGAGCTACGGGTTTGGACTGAGTGAGAGAGAGATTTAGCTAGGTCAGGACCTATGGGATGTTCGCCAATTTTAGAGAGAGGGATGGACAGGGGGAGAGAGAGAGAGAGAGAGAGAGAGGAGAAAGGCTGGCTGTGTCCATTTTTTCGGGTTGATTTGTTATCGCACAGGGTCGGTGAGGAGAGAATGGCAGAGGAATGTATGGGAAGGTATGAGTTTTCAATTTTTTCCTCTGATTCAACAGATAATGCACTGTTTTAAGTTCATTGTTTATTGTTTGGTTTGCCATTTGCTTTGTTAAAACTGTCATTGGAATTTTGTTGTTTCATTGTGCTCATTTCTGTGCTTTTTCATACTTTCCTGCTGTTTGCTTCTCATCCTTCTGTAGGTAGACTGTTTTTCCATTTCTTGGTTCCTTACGTATTTCTTGGTTCCTTAATTATTCTAATCTCTGTAAAGTTTGTGGTTTTTTGGGGTGGGGATTTCAGATTTCAAGGGGGGGAGAGAGGCTGTGCTTCGTTTCCATCCGGCCGAGTCACGTTGTTGATGCATAAACCCATCAGTTCCTCTGTAATTCGTTTAGGTTTTCATTATTCTTTTTCGATTTGTTTTGTCAAAATTGAAATGGAATTTGTTGGCTTGATTTTGTATTAGGTTGCGAGAGGGTTCTGTTTTTAGGGTTTTCTCCCATTCCCTCTGTTTCTCTTCTTCAATCAGTCTGACGTAGCTTTGCAATTTAGGGTTCAGTGCATTTCAATCTTTTTTACTGGAATATACATACATATAAATGTCTAAATTTGTTCAATTTTTCTGTACACAAGGTTGGGTTAATTTGATTCTTAACCTATGAATGGATATTATATTACAATTGTGGGTTCTGTTTTTAGGGCTCGATGAAAAGAAACATCCATCAGAGCTTCCAACAACTCGAAGGTTAGTGATTTCTTCCTTCTCTCTAATTCTGTTTCTCTGCTATTTCAATTTGTAGGATTTAATTTAGGGTTTTAAGTTGGAAAATTTAATTAAACATTTTCAGTTGCAGAGCTTAGTATATACAACAATTAGGGTTGTTAATTATGATTGCTGGTCTACTAAATGTATTATAACATGTAAACAGGGAGTATATACTTTGTATGCCATGGATAGGGAATGGATACGTAATTAGATCAATTGATGGGTGCCGCTATTTTCAATATCTACATCCAGCAATACCTGATATTCTGTGTTTTGTTGTTTTATATCTATGTTTTGTTGTAATGGATTGGAATTTCTACTGGAATTATTATTATTATTTAGGGGTTGGGTAAATTGATTTTAGAGATTTGGTATGTGCTTTGGGTTCTGATTATGTTTAGATAGATGGTGCTTGATTGTGGTTTAAGTTCTTTTAGTATATTCCCTGCACATTGCAAAATTCTGGTACTATTTGGGAGTTTTGGTTTTGAAAGCCTAGGCTTTATTATTATTATTATTATTATTATTATTATTATTATATATTTAGGGGTTGGGTAAATTGATTTTAGAGATTTGGTATGTGCTTTGGGTTCTGATTATGTTTAGATAGATGGTGCTTGATAGTGGTAGGGTTTAGCGTTTAGCGTTTAGGAGAATGAAAAGAAGGCATGTCTGCGTTTCTGAACTCTTATGCAAATCGAATCTGAAATCATGAAACACATTTCCTATGTTTCTCAAATCTCAGCGACAGGTTTTAGAATCCTGAAATCTAAGTAAAGGTACATCATTCCTATTTTCGTGTTTTTTTAATTCCTATCATCATGGCCATGATTAAACGTGAATATGCATGCCAACCTTGCATACTCAGTGATTAATTTCTGGGTGAATGTTTCTTTGGACGAGGGTTTGCAGATATGAATACTTGGGGGCAGATGGTCACCATGTTGGAGCCATTGATACTGATACAACTTGGGAAGTAGTTGGTTATATTCAAATCAGAAATAAAATTGTTGTATATATTCCGCATTTGATTGAAAATCTGTAATTTTATGAATCATTTATTCGGATTTAATGTCAATTAAATAGAAATTATTCTTCTTTGATATCATTGTGCGCAACACATAATTTCACTTAGTTTTTTTTCCACAGTAAGATTCCGTATAATTAATCTCTACAATTTATTCATGTGTTCATGGTCACCACTTAATTATTTAGTGATTGGGTGTTGAGTGTTGACCACCGAATGTTTCTTTTTTCAGTTCCAAGCTTGAATTTCATCAACCTTCAGGTATTTTGCTTTAATTTTTTTTCTTCTCTTTTGTCTTCTTTTCTGTTTGATTGCTTTCCTTCTTTTTTATCCTAAATTCTGAGTTTTCATTTTGTTTAAAATAGTTTTCTCCTGCAATATTTTATCTTCGTCCTTAGGTGCTTTCAACTCCGCCTATGTCTTACATGGCCGGTCCCAAGCCCGGATAAAGGAGGAGGGAGAGGGCGTCAGGTAGTCGACAGCCGGCACTCCATGATCACGTCGAATCCTTATGAAAATGAATCCAGAACAAAATCGCGCTAAAGCTAGGGCGTCACCCGTAAGTGGCGCGCTGTGTGGCCTGAGCACAGTGATAAGTGAGCAAGGGTCGCTGTATCTCCATCGGCACCCGGATGCAGTGTTAAATGAGCAAGGGGGCCATAGAAACTTCTTTTCGAACGACTCCACTCAAAGTTGTTTGGGAGCATATGCTCCTATCAACTTTACCCGGGACACACAAAAGAAGTACTTTGATCCTATTAGACGGGGGAGGGTGAAGAAGTTAGGACAGAAGGGTAGAGTTCAAGAGAGCAAAATGCGTTTAGGAACGTGGAATATAGGAACCTTAACGGGAAAATCTATGGAAGTAGTGGAAGTTATGGTGAGGAGAAGGATAAATATTATGTGCCTACAAGAAACTAAGTGGGTTGGTAGTAAGGCAAAGGATCTAGAAAACTCAGGGTTTAAACTTTGGTATTCGGGCACAAATAGAACGAGAAACGGTGTTGGCATCATCGTGGACAAGACCTTGGTACACAAGATGTTGTAGATGTCAAGAGGGTAGGAGATAGAATCATGGCAATCAAGATTGTAATAGGACAAGAACTTATCAATGTGATTAGTGCGTACGCACCTCAAGTAGGGTTGGATACGAGTTCGAAGGAGAAATTTTGGGAAGATCTTGGAGACTTGGTGCAAGGAATTGCTCAGACGGAGAAGTTATTTATAGGAGGAGATTTAAATGGACACGTGGGCAGGGAGACAGGCAACTATGGAGGTTTTCATGGTGGCCATGGTTTTGGGGAGAGAAACGAGGATGGGGAAGCTATCTTGGATTTTGCAATGGCATATGATCTCTTCTTAGCCAACACCTTCTTTAAGAAGAGAGAAGAACATGTGATCACCTACAAGAGTGGGTCGTCAAAAACACAAATAGATTTTCTTCTAATGAGGAAAGGGGATCGTATAACTTGTAAGGATTGCAAAGTTATACCAGGAGAGAGCGTGGCTAATCAACATCGCTTGTTGGTGATGGATGTACATATCAAAAGAGTAAGACAAAAGAACAAGACTTGGAAGTGCCCAAGGACTAGATGGTGGAATCTAAAAGAAGAAAAAACAAGCCATTTTCAAAGAGAAGGTAATCACCCAATGTGTGTGGGATAGAGAGGGGGAAGCTAGCCAAATGTGGGATTCCATGGCTAGTTGTATCCGAAAAGTAGCAAAAGAGGTATTAGGAGAGTCCAAGGGCTTTGCCCCACACCAAAAGGAATCTTGGTGGTGGAATGAGGAGGTACAAACAAAGGTGAAGGCTAAGAAGGAATGTTGTAAAGCCTTATACAAGGAGAGGACCTGATGAAAATGGTGAAAGGTATAGAAAAGCGAAGCAAGAGGCGAAGAAAGCTGTCAGAGAAGCTAAGTTAGCGGCTTACGACGATATGTATAAACGACTAGATACCAAAGAAGGAGAGTTGGATATCTATAAACTATCTAGAGCAAGGGAAAAGAAGACAAGGGACCTAAACCAAGTGAGGTGCATCAAGGATGAGGATGGAAAGGTTCTTGCTACAGAGAACGCGGTTAAAGACAGATGGAGAGGTTATTTTCATAATCTTTTCAATGAAGGACATGAAATGAGTGCTTCTTTAGGGGAGTTGAGTAACTCAGAAGAGTGTAGAAACTACTCTTTTTTATCGTCGAATCCGGAAGGAAGAAGTGGTTGTAGCTTTGAAGAAGATGAAGCATAAAAAAAGCAATAGGCCCAGACGATATACCAATCGAAGTGTGGAAACTTTTGGGAGAGACAGGTATAACATGGCTCACTGACCTTTTCAATAGGATTTTTGAAAACGAAGAAGATGCCAAATGAGTGGCGAACGAGCACTTTGGTGCCTATCTACAAGAATAAGGGCGACGTACAAAATTGCATGAACTATAGGGGTATTAAGCTAATGAGTCATACAATGAAGCTCTGGGAGAGAGTCATTGAGCATAGATTGAGGCAAGAGACACGGGTTTCGGACAACCAATTCGGGTTCATGCCAGGGCGCTCAACCATGAGGCAATCTATCTCTTACGAAGATTGATGGAAAGATATAGAGATGGGAAAAAGGATTTACACATGGTCTTTATAGATTTGGAAAAAGCGTATGATAGGGTCCCAAGAGACATTCTTTGGAGGATTTTAGAGAAGAAAGGAGTACGAGTAGCATATATCCAAGCTATAAAGGATATGTATGAAGGAGCAAAGACTGCCGTAAGAACTCATGAAGGACAAACCGAAAGCTTTCCCATAACTGTAGGATTACATCAAGGCTCATCCTTAAGTCCTTACCTTTTTGCGTTGGTAATGGATGAGTTAACAGGACATATTCAAGATGATATTCCTTGGTGTATGCTTTTCGCAGACGATATAGTGTTGATAGATGAAACTCAGGAAGGGGTAAATGCAAAGCTTAACCTTTGGAGAGAAGTGTTGGAATCTAAAGGTCTTCGCCTAAGCCGATCAAAGACAGAATATATGGAGTGCAAGTTCAGTGCAAATGGAGGCCAAAACGAGTTAGGGGTGAGGATCGGAGATCAAGAAATACCAAAGAGCGACCGTTTTCGTTACCTAGGATCTATCTTGCAAAAGAACGGAGAATTAGATGGAGATCTCAACCATAGAATACAAGCTGGATGGATGAAGTGGAAGAGTGCATCCGGCGTGTTGTGTGACCGCCGTATGCCACTGAAGCTCAAGGGAAAATTTTATAGGACGGCAATAAGGCCGGCGATGCTGTATGGCACAGAATGTTGGGCGGTGAAACATCAACACGTACACAAAATGGGTGTAGCGGAGATGAGGATGCTTCGTTGGATGTGTGGGCACACGAGAAAGGATAAGATTAGGAATGAGGATATCGGGGTAAAGTAGGAGTAGCCGAAATTGAAGGAAAGATGAGAGAAAATCGGTTACGGTGGTTTGGACATGTGCAAAGAAGGCCTACTGACGTTCCGATTAGAAGATGCGACTATGGGACAGAGGTTCAGGGCCGAAGGGGTAGAGGAAGACCTAGGAAAACTTTGGAAGAGACTCTAAGAAAAGACTTAGAGTACTTGGATCTAACGAAGGACATGACACAGGATCGAGCACAATGGCGTTCTAAGATTCATATAGCCGATCCCACTCAGTGACTTGGATTTTCCAAGTCTCCAACCGAGAAGTTTTCCTCACTCGGGAAATTAAGGGAACACTACCCCAACCTACATGCTCCACTCAGAAAGCTTCAACATACAAGCTTTAACAAAAGAAAATTCAAAGAACTTAGCGAAGAAGGCTTTGGTGTATTTAACACAATACGTTGAAATGAAGGAAAGCTTATTTTATTGATATCCCCGATAAGCTACAAATATGTACATATACATGAGTCAAAATAAAGCACACAAGAGGGAGCCTTCACAAAGGTTGCTTAGGAGAAGTCTCAGCAGTCGGTAGAGCCCCAGAAAGAGAAGGCACCGGAGGGGGATCATTTGGAGCCTCAGTACTGGACAGAACCCTAGAAGGAGGAGGCATCAGAGGTTGATCATTTGGAGCTTCATTACGCGGTACAGCCCCAGAAGACGAAGGCAATAAATGCCTTTGGAACAAACCCACAAATCTCTGATGATCAAGTAAAACCTGACCATCAGTTTCCTTCATCTGGTCAAGCTTCCTCTTCATGTTTGTAGCATAGTCATGTGCGAGCCGGTGCAACTGTTTATTCTCATGCTTGAGCCCTCTAATCTCCTGTTTGAGACTCATCACTTCAGCCGCCAATGATTCAACTTGGCGGGTTCGAGCAAATAGGCGTTGGGCCATATTAGACACAGAACCTGCACACTGAACACTGAGAGCCAGTGAATCCTTAACAGCTAACTCATCAGACCGTTTGGAAAGTAGTCTGTTATCTTTGGGAGTGAGAAGGTTCCTGGCCACCACCGCAGCGGTCATATCATTCTTCATCACGGAATCCCCAACGGTAAGAGGACCAGTAGGGGAGACGAAGGATGGGCGCCATATGTTGTCTGGAGAAGGCGGGGCTGCCTCTTCAACAAGGTTCAAGTCAAAACGACGGTCGGAGGGGCCAGACATTTTCAAAGGTGTTGAAGAGAGAGAAGAGGTCGGACAAATCAAGATCTTAGAAGTGCAAGAATGAAGCTTCTACTGGTGGAGATTCAAGTGTGCTTTGGAACTTAATGCCAGCCCCTATAAAAATCTGCACTCGACGAAGCTTCAGAAATCGAAGAGGCGCCTGCTCAGAAATCGAAGAGGCGCCTGCTCAGAAATCGAAGAGGCGTTTGCTTTCTCAAAAGCTGGGCTGCTTAGAGATCACGAGGGTTGATCTCAGAAATCGAAGAGGCGTTTGCTTTCTCAAAAGTTGGGCTGCTCAAAGACCACGAAGGCCGATCTCAAAAATCGAAGAGGCGCTCGCTTTTCTCAAAAGCTGGGCTCCCCAGAGACCACGAGGGCCGATATCAGAAATCGAAGAGGCACCTACTTTTCCAGCCTTTTCCAGCCTTGTCAGCACCTGTCACACGCACACTCAGTTTTGCGGAAATTATGGGCATTCTGTCAAAGACTTCTGGGGAAGTAGAAAACACAATGAATCTTACTGTTCAATCACCCACTTCCCACACGCAACAATAGCTCATGGGTACCACATATAACTTTGCCAAAGTTCTCTGCCAAAGTTGAGCACGTGAAGCTTGCAGCTCCCACTACATCGCTCTGACCAAGAAGGGTAAAAGAATAGCAAAGAAACAGCACTAACAAAGTTTAGACCCATAAATTTTGAAGGTCTAGCTACCATATTATTACCCACAAGGGTAAAGGAACAGTACCACTGCTGGATAATTGGAAAGTCCCTGTGTGTCAACCTCTGTGCTTCGTGGCAAGGTAGACTAGCAAACATGCCCAACATTTACTCACATTCGAGAAAACACTCCCAATAAGATTGCTTGCTCCAAAATCGAAGAGGCACCGTCCTCCGAATCTCGAGAGCCAGACTCCCAACATGACTACTTTCTTAAAAATCGAAGAGAGGGTAAAGGAACAGTACCATTGTTGGATAATTGGAAAGTCCCTGTGTGTCAACCTCTGTGCTTCGTGGCAAGGTAGATTAGCAAACATGCCCAACCTTTACTCACATTCGAGAAAACACTCCCAACAAGATTGCTTGCTCCAAAATCGAAGAGGCACCGCCCTCCGAATCTCGAGAGCCAGACTCCCAACATGATTACTTTCTCAAAAATCGAAGAGACACTGCTCCCCGAATCTTCGAGAGCCAGACCCCCAGCATGATTGCTTTCTCAAAAATCGATGAGGCATCGTTCTCCGAATCAATCGAAGAGGCGCTCGCTTTCTCAAAAGCTGGGCTGCTCAGAGACCATGAGGGCCGATCTCAGAAATCGAAGAGGCACCTACTTTTCTAGCCTTGTCAACACCTGTCACACGCACACTCAGCTTTGCAGAAATTATGGGCATTCTGTCGAAGACTTCTGGTGAAGTAGAAAGCACATGAATCTTACTGTTCAATCACCCACTTCCCACACGCAACAATAGCTCATGGGTACCACAAATAACTTTGCCAAAGTTCTCTGCCAAAGTTGAGCACGTGAAGCTTGCAGCTCCCACTACATCGCTCTGACCAAGAAAGGTAAAAGAATAGCAAAGAAACAGCACTAACAAAAGTTTAGACACATAAATTTTGAAGGTCTAGCTACCATATTATTACCCACAACTGTAAAGGAACAGTACCACTGCTGGATAATTGGAAAGTCCCTGTGTGTCAACCTCTGTGCTTCGTGGCAAGGTAGACTAGCAAACATGCCCAACCTTTACTCACATTCGAGAAAACACTCCCAATAAGATTGCTTGCTCCAAAATCGAAGAGGCACCGTCCTCCGAATCTCGAGAGCCAGACTCCCAACATGACTACTTTCTCAAAATCGAAGAGAGGGTAAAGGAACAGTACCATTGCTGGATAATTGGAAAGTCCCTGTGTGTCAACCTTTGTGCTTCGTGGCAAGGTAGACTAGCAAAACATGCCCAACCTTTACTCACATTCGAGAAAACACTCCCAACAAGATTGCTTGCTCCAAAATCGAAGAGGCACACCACCCTCCGAATCTCGAGAGCCAGACTCCCAACATGATTACTTCCTCAAAAATCGAAGAGACACTGCTCTCCGAATCTCGAGAGTCATACCCCCAGCATGATTGCTTTCTCAAAAATCGAAGAGGCATCGTTCTCCGAATCTCGAGAGCCAGATACCACAGACCACTTTTTCAAAGTGCTCTGACAGAGTTAAAACATGTGAAACTGGCAGCTCCCACTACCGTGCTATGACCAAGCAGGGTAAAGGAATAGCATTACTACTTGTTGTTAGGGAGACTCCTATATATGTCGACCTCCATCCCCAACGGACAGGCAGACCTGCAAAAATGCTCAACCCTTCATCATATCTGATAGGGCACTCCCAACGAAGCCTTTCGAAATATTCAGCTTTCTTTCCCCCGATAATACCTCTGCAAACAAGCTATACTAGAGCAAGAATATCTCATATCATCAGGGTTAAAAGCAAGAGTATCCCATATCATGCTTTTTCCCTGTCTTTTCTTTTGGCCTTGTTTTTACCTGCAAGACAAGGAGAAAGAGAAGCAATCAGTCAGCACTTGGAATCAAGCTTCCAGCCAGGAACTGACTGCCTGGAACCCCTTACCTGATTACTTACCTGGCATTGCTCTCGAGTACTCATCTTCAACATCTTATGTTTCCAGGGAAGATTCCGCATCTGCTTGAGGAACAGATAGGGCAAGTGCGAAGGATACAAGGAAGCATGTGGAGACAAGCGTAACAGCACACGTGCCGATACATTCATTACTCTGTCAAAAGCAAAAGTATCCCATATCAGCAGGGTGGAACGTACTCTAGATTTGATGGACTTGTTTTGACCCTCAAATTCTTCAGTCGGCCTTATACTCTGGAGGAAACCAGAAAACCCTCCAGCTCAGTTCAAGAATAAGCCTGTGGAGAAGGTGAACAATCAGTCGGAGCTCTGATTGCTTACCTTGTCTGTCACCTCTTTCAGCAGACCCCCTAGCTCGGCGACTTGGGGGACTCCTACTACATGGTTTGTATCGCGCTTGACCAAGCTTGAAACTACAAGTAAGCTTCAAGTGAAATTGATACATTACCTTGTGCATCTCCACCAGTTAAAGATACCACCCCTGGATGGAGGAAGAGTACTTCCAGAGAAGATGCCACATCTACCTATGAGACAGATAAGGCAAGTCAAGACGACACCACACTCCGATACTTAGAAGTTTCGTGATTACGAGATCATTCTCCCACAATATTTCCTAATGTCATTTGTACTAAATCATTCACTTGTACTCACTAAATGAGAGCTTGAACCTATGTACTTGTGTAAACCCTTCACAATTAATGAGAACTCTTCTATTCCGTGGACGTAGCCAATCTGGGTGAACCACGTACATCTTGTGTTTGCTTTCCTATCTCTATCCATTTATATACTTATCCACACTAATGACCGGAGCAATCTAGCGAAGATCACAAAAAGCGATCGTTTTCGCTACCTAGGATCTATCTTGCAAAGAGAACGGAGAATTAGATGGAGATCTCAACCATAGAATACGAGCTGGATGGAAAGAGTGCATCCGGCGTGTTGTGTGACCGTCGTAGGCCACTGAAGCTCAAGGGAAAATTTTTATAGGACGGCAATAAGGCTAGCGATGTTGTATGGCACAGAATGTTGGGTGGTGAAGCATCAACACGTACACAAAATGGGTGTAGCGGAGATGAGGATGCTTCGTGGGATGTGTGGGCACACGAGAAAGGATAAGATTGGGAATGAGGATATCCGAGGTAAAGTAGGAGTAGCCGAAATTGTAGGAAAGATGAGAGAAAATCGGCTCCGGTGATTTTGAACATGTGCAAAGAAGGCCGACTGACGCTCCGGTTCGAAGATGTGACTACGGGACAGAGGTTCAGGGCCGAAGGGGTAGAGGAAGACCTAGGACAACTTTGGAAGAGACTCTAAGAAAAGACTTAGAGTACTTGGATCTAACGGAGGACATGACACAAAACCGAGCGCAATGGCGTTCTAGGATTCATATAGCCGACCCCACTTAGTGGGAAAAGGCTTTGTTGTTGTTGTTGTTGTTTGTCCTTAGGTGCTTTCAAATCTGGAATTTGGTCTATTGATATTTTAAAAAATTTATAGTTATTTCCAGTTCTCCACTATCATTTTTTTTTTGTGCTAATTAATCAATTTTATTTGTAATATTGTGCATTTCATATGATATTTGTGAAATATTTTGAGATTTTACCGCAAGTGTAAACGGTAAATATAAAGATGCTATTGTTACTTTTTGTATCTTTTGCACTTTTTTTTTTTTTGTTTATTATCATACAAAGGCGTCCATAATTGTTTTAACTTTTTTAGTTTTTATTAGGCACTTATATGGTTATGCCTGTGTTCTCTACCTCCTCCTCCAACTCCTTTTTCTTTTTCTTCTTCTCTTTGTGCGACTTCCAAATATGGTGGAATCGGTGGAGCTTCCCACTCGCCTAGGCATCTTTCCCTTCTGAAACAAGGTCCTTCTACCCTGCGCCATCTTCGAATTCACTGCACTTCACCCGGCAGGTACCTTTGAGCCTTAAAATTTGTCTTTTGATTGATTGTTTTTTCTGTTTGAATCTTAAGAAAACTTTGGATGTACTTTAACCGCTAGCTGTTTTAGCTCAGCACAAAAATTTTGCATATTTTGTTCTTCAATTTTGCCAGAGTCAATTTCAAATGCCAACTTTCCTTTTTTCTTTTTCTAGGTAATTGATCATTATGCGGTTTGTAAGTTGGATTTTTCTAACTGGTGGATTATCGAATTGATAAAATTGGGGAATTTGATTAATGTAGTGTCAAATTGGTGGAGCATGAGTTATGGCAGCGAGAAGAGAAGGGGTTAATTGGTATTCTCCACATTCAAGATGCTGCCGAGGCAGCAACATTGGACTCTGTTGTCTCAAGATGATTTCTGCTTATTTCTCCATTTGTTACGGATGAGTGGATGCCTATGATTAAGTGGAAAGTGAAATCTAAGAGGTTTTTTGTTGTTATTGTTGGGAATTTGCCTAATTTTAGGAATAGGAAGTGATTCTGGTGAACAAAGCTCCAGAGTTCAAGTTTGTACATCTGATTCTCACAACAGGCTAGATGGATGGAGAAAATCAGCAGGAACTTATTCACTGTCATACAAGGTATACTTGAAACAAAATCTATTGTGTTATGCATTGGAAAGTGTTTCTGTTTTATGGGGCCACAACTTAACTTACAGATAACGCAGTGGTCCATCTAATCATGTCATGTGTTGTGACTATTTTTATTCCAATCAGTTTAACTGCCCTTTTAATCCTTGAAAAAAACCATTACCAGTTTCTGGATTGATTCTACATTTTACTCTGTTTTTATGCCTAATATCGTTTGTTATTCCTAAATTTTCCATTGGGTAGCTGTATAAGTTTTCCATAGGCTTCGATCATCTCCCCAACAAACCTAGAGCCTTCTTTTCTCCCGCAAAGCAAAAGAAAATCAAGGAGGCCTGCAACTTTATATGCAGTCCACCACTGCAAATTAGTCTGGAAACAGGAAAATTCAAAGGTAAAACACACCGATCTCTTTGATTTTGGTCTCTACTGCACAGTTGGACAGACAAATGATAAACCTAACACATGCATGCTCTGATTTCCTTGGTAGGTCATATTTTTCACTTTCTGGATGTGCAAAGTCTGGATAGTACACATCACTGGGCCAAACCTTTCCCAGGTAAGGAATTCCTTCGCATTTGCTGAAAATATTTGCTTCCTTTCCTCTGATGTATGTCTATGTATGATGTATGTGTGTGATTTTAGATTGTAATATATCACAAATTTGTGGCATGAAAATTGACATTTGTAGACTTACCCTTTGTTTGGTGGCTGTGATAATTTGTGGCATCAATTTCTCTACTTCTTCTTTGTAAATCTTGCAGGTCAGGACACCACACCTATTGGGGCAATGTCGGGATGTTTGGGCTTGGGTGGATACGTGGACTTATGGAAGAGATGAAGTAGCTTAGCTGTCTGTCATTAGCTTTATCTGTTCTATGCATCTCTACAATCTTACAATGCTCTTTTATTCAATTGCAAGATGTTGGGACTGGTTACTGGAATACAGGATTTGGAACAAAAGTGGTTGATAATGCAAGAGTCAAAAACAAGTGTGAAATTCACATTGAAAGTGACACATGAGAATGCTAATCATATTCTAAAAAAATGTTGGGTTTCCTTATGAGTTCTCTCGCCAAATTCAAGAGGCTAATTTAGTGATTTGGAGTTAATTTTGTAAATGTATTGAATGAAGTCATTTGTTATTTAGCTTATCTTGCGTTTGGTTTGGTTTTAGGAGAGGGTTGCGCATGATCTGTAGGTTCAATCAACCTCGCTGTTTTCATTAGAATCACAATTAAAGGTCAGTTTTTCCAACTTTTTTTTTTCTTTTTGCTGCATGTTTGTGCATGTTTGGTCTCTGAGATTTTGTTTTTAGTCACTGTTGATCTGTAGTTTATGTCTCCCTTTGGCTACATATTGACACAGGTTTATTCTCGGCATTTTTTTGTTAGGGTAAGTGGTTTGGTGAGTTCTGTATTATTATATAATCTTTGGGGCTATTTTAAGTAAAAATAAAATGTTGACATTGATATAGCATACGGCACACTTAATTCACACTCCTATATTCGGTCTTCATGTTTCCATTGCAACACTCTGCATTTCCCACCCAATGAATTTTTTTAATAAAGATGTAGTTAAAGCAAGTACGTGCTCTATCAAGTATGTTTTATATGTAGTTGTGGTAGTTGCAAGGAAATGACATATTTGTGTTGATAATTGGTAGTTTAAATATATAGAAATAGAGAATAATTATAAATGGAGCACCTAGGATATTTAACATTGTTTTCTTTTCCATGTAATCTTTCTCATGTTTAACATCTGCTTTTGCTTATGCATTTGATTCAAGTGCTAGTTTTATTAGTGTTAATTTTGGTTGCATATCCACAAACTAACCCAGTTAATTTTGCTTAGTGTTGATTTATAAGGAGAACTCTCATTGCATCAACTTGAACAAACATTCTTCTACCTAGTTGCTTAGCTGCTGAAACAAGAACGAAACACTTTTTATGTTTTTTTGTTTAATTGCTAAAACAGGTGGCTGGCCTGCATGACATTTATTTAGCCATCTTAACTTCAAGGGCAATATATGTGCAAAATGCATGTTGCTTAGGGAAACAAAGCATTTTTTGCAACCATATCTTTTGTAATCAGCTCGGTTGAACGTATATAAAAGCCAAGCTGCTTATCTTACCGACACCGTTCACTCATATGTCCCTTTTGTTCGTTCATGATTATATTGAATTTTTTTTTAGGTTAAATGTGTCTTATTCATATAGTTAAGGCTAGTATATTCAAGTCCCGCAGCAACACGAAAGCATATTTACTAGTAAATGCTAAAATTTGACCATTTCTGTTCTCTATATACATTCCAGGCATATGGAGACTAAAAAAATGTGCTAAGTCTATGATATGGCGTTCCTTGCTTCTTGCAATAAGATCATTCAGAAACGCAGAAAATTCATAATAATGTAGATGGGGTAGACATAAATTAAAGAAAAATGCACCTCCTTTTCTTGTAGCTGAGGAAAAGAAGCTAATCCACACTTGCTCTGCTTATTTAGTACCATTGTTGCGAATATAAGTTTGTTTTGCCATTCCATCAATGAGGCTGAGTAATACACCTTCTCCCCTACCAGTGGCAAAGCTAGGAATTGTCAAGGGGAGGGCTATTAAAGGGTAGAAGCTTCTACCTTATTTTTGTCGCGCTCCATAAAAACAAATTCGGTTGCAAAAACTCTTCAAATACTTTCACATTCTTGCCCATTTCTCCACATTTGGGATACAATTCAATCAACACATAAACCACAAACATATTCAATGCAACCTTGTCATGTTTCTTCACAAACCCATGTATTATTTTCTCATATGTGAGTGCCTTAACCTCGCACACGCCTTCAGAGCAATGGGAATGGTAAAATTATTGGGCTTTTCATCATTACCTCTTGACTCAGATATCATGTTATGGAAGAGATACAAGGTATCTTCCCATCGATTCTCTCTACCGTAGCTCTTGAGCGCGGGATTCGAGATTGGGCTCTATTCCCATTCAACATTGCATTAAAATACCTCTTGGCCGTCATATGCTGGTTGTGGCGCAAAATGATCTTAAATAGAGCCTCATAAGACTTGAAACTTATCTCCACACCCAATTCCTTCGTACTATCAAAACAACTTAACAGACTCTTGAATAATGGTAGTCTTACCGTAGCCAGGGGCGGATCTAATAAGGGACCTGGGTGGTCCCAAGACCACTCGGAAGTCCGAATAAGTGGCTGTGAGGGCCTCTGAGGACCACCCAAGTCTAAGCATGTAGTGGAGGAGGAGGAGCATGGCTGCACATCGTTCTGGTATTCTGCATTCTGGAAACCAGGAGGAAGAAGAAGACTAATTCTATTTCAAATGATTTGGCCAAAACAACGTCGTTTTGAGCCAAGTCATTTAAGTAAAACGGTTTTGGTTAAATGGTTTGGAAAGACATCCTCCTTTGAGCCTGTAGGCCCTATACTAAATCCCATTCTTTGATATATAGTTTTTACCATTTTGTTAATTAAAAAAAACAAAAAAGATTCAAACTTTCAAAGAGATCTGACTTTTCCAATTCCAATACTAACAATCCTAATTGGCTATTCCATTCCCCAATTCCACCCCCATCCTCGACGACCGGCTCCACAACCAGTAAGCTGTTTTTTCTCCACTACCTTTTAATCTCTTCATTTTTAAATTTAAGTAAATTTTTCATTTTAGTCTAAATTAATCACGTAGAATGTTAAATTATAGTTTGGATCATGTGTTGGTTAGTTCATTTATATTTTTTACTTCATCAATTGATATGGTTTTTTGTTTTGCTTAATTGATATGTGTAGAAATTAGGAGTATGAAACGATATTACAAGCACAAATATTAGAGTAAAAACCTCGTCATAGACAAATTTAGTCTTTATAGCTTGTAATGTTGTTTGTACACATATTATGAATGAAAAATTGTAATTTATCGTTTAAATTTTCAAAGTTATACTTCATCTAATATTTTTTGGAGCATTTATATGGAAAAAGGATCATCGCCGAATCCTTTTCTTGAGAATCCTAGGGATCCCTGTGATCGTAACTATTCATCGTATATTGTGCTGTCATAAATTATTTTAAAATTTAAAATTAAATATAAATAGTACTTAACGAAAACTGATTGCACCATTTATATTGGGACCACCCAGTATTAAAATCCTGGATCCGCCACTGACCGTAGCCCTCATTAACGACGCCGTTCTACGCTTTTTTTTTTTTTTTCTAGGACCAAAACAACATAGTTTTGGGCTGAGTATTTAAAAATAAAATGCAGAAGAAGTAGCAAAGCATAAAACACAGAAGCAGTGAAGTAGCACAACAGATTTCTCGCGACAATTCAGAGGACTAGAAGGGCGAAATCTTCACTCTCAATGGCGACTTCAAGCGATCAAAGGGGCGGCCGCCCCTCCTTGTCCCCATGTAGCTTCGCCCATGTCCCCTACATCCGTCATAGATAATGACAATGAGACATGGTCATGGTCTACATATTAAGACAAGTTGAAGGAGTCAGTTTTTTAAGTTGAGATTACAGCCTAAAATCAATTAACTATAAAGGAGTAAGCCCAAATCCTTATGAGCTCTTACAAAGTTTTTTAACTTTGTGATGCGGGACTACACATCCTCACCCTTTCAAGGAGTTTGAATCCTTGTTTCCTTTTTATCTGCGTCAAAAACACAACAATAGCAGCTGGTCTTTTGGGCATTCCTAACTTGTAGAAAGCGTGGAAGCGACAGAAATGTGTGCTTGAAAGTGTAACACCCTAAAAAAGTTCCGGGTTTTGGGGTTCTAATCTACTTACAATGGCAACCAAACAAACAACGACTAAATCATTGGACATTTATTAACATAACCGAAAGTCATACATAATTGAGTGTATCGGTCTAATGAGAAAACGTAAAACTTAATCCAAACCAGACAACTAAACTTAAAACTAGTAAACTTCAACCAACACAAGTTGAGGCCCACCGTGGCTTGTCCAATGCCTCCCCCTTGCCTACTTCCCTTGGAGTTGATTCCGAACTGGTATCGCCCTTTAAAAAATTCCAAATAAATACATAGCGTTTTAAAAATTGAACATCCGTTAGGTTACTGGCGACTCTCACTAGCATTAGGTAATGGCAATTACAAATATACTTAAAAGGGTGCGTTGGAGTTTTCACAAACACATCATCCTCGAAGCACTGGAGAAACAAACACGAAAAATAGTTTTTAATTTTTGGATTTAATTCATCGAGCAACAAAATGACACACTGGAACTAATTGCCCGGGAAAGATTTTGGCGTGGGAGAGAGGCATTCACTGGTGCAACAGAAGGCGGCTCTGTGTACATACATTCTCGATGGTAAAGACAAATTGGATTCCCAGCTCAGATTTTATACAAATTATGGGTAGCCTCAACAACAATTGTCAATTGGTAATATGGTAAATAATGGATTGTCACTTATTAGTTATTACACAGAGTTGATCCTCACGATCCCCGGCCTCCTCGTTGCCTCTTTTCTTCTAGCGCAGTTGCTTCGTTTAACATGTCAGCAGCGTCCTTGTGCATGTCTAGCTTGGCTAGAGCAACTGATTGCATGTAGAAGGCCGTGGGCCAGTCTGGATAAACACATTGCGCTTGCATTGCATCTCGTAGGGCAGCATCTGGTTGCTCATTTAACAGGTAGCATAAACTGCGTCGCGCAAAAACGGTTGGCGACACCATAGTTCCAACATCTATGAACTGCGCCCAAAAAACACAAAAGGAAAGACTTCAGTGAGCATCACTACTCAAGGCCATAGTTCAAGATTATAACTCACTGAGCCCATCCTAAATTTGAAATAAAACAAAAATGCCTCAAACAGCTATGCTAATCAGCGAGTACGAAAGACTGCAGCAGCAGTCATTTGATTCAAAACGGTTATATCAGAAAAGCAAACATGGTAAGACTAACAGTTGGGGCCAGAAACTTTTCCACTCTTATGACATAATTTACAGGTGTAAAGGTTCCGAGGCAAAAATTTTGTCAACTTATTGGCGTAATTCCAGCCCACAAGATTAAAAATAAAAAATGTGCATGTGCAAACAACAAAGTTATACCTGGGAGTAACAGTCAATGGCAGCTTTAAAATCTTTGTCCCGGAATGCATAATCCCCTCGCTTCCTTGCCTCCAACATGTCTCTCATCTGTTGAGTCCACTCTTGGAAAGATAACTGAAGCCATCCAAATTCAAAAAAGATCTCTTAGCATAAATTGATTGAACAAGGATATGCATGATGCCCTAGTACCACTTAACTACCTCATTGGTTCCTTCATCATCTCTGTAGTGCGTCATAACCAAGATCTGATGGATTGCTGTGAGGTCCATCCGAGAGCAGGCGTCACCCATAGCAGATAGGGGACGTTGTGGGGTTGAAGGGGCTTCCTCATGCTTTGGAATCCCAAGCATCACATAAGATGGAACCTGCAATCCAAAACCTTGGTAATTAGATTCTTCTTGTGAAGTAGTCCTCCTTTATCATCTTACAAGCACGACTGAGTACAGATCATATATGATCCCTTATTAGATCATCAGATCAACAAAGTTTTGGCCATGTAAGGATATGAGGATGCACCACAGGGGAATGGCTGAAGTTAAAAAGGCATCGGCTATGGCAAGGATGCCGCTACAATCCATATATGCCCTGTGCACGCATCATTTTCCAGTCCATGGGTCTCCACTACTTCAAAAATAGTGTAAAGTGATTCCTTTTGGACTCAGCCACACTAAGCCATCAATAAACAGCTTGTGCCAGGGACATACTAAGTCACAAGTACAAAACCACGAACAAAGCACTAAGAAAAGAATAACAGCTTTTTTCATGGACTCGACAATTTAATAATCCAATACGGGAAAGCCTCTTACATCAGGTTTGGTCTGCAGTGGAGAAAGTGTTGCAACAAGGTCCTTCGTATTAGGCCGCTCTCTAGGTTCATATTGGAGACATTGAGAAGCAAGATTAACAACTACTGTTGCTTCCTCTGTAGAAAATTTCCCCTCCAAATGTGAATCCATTAACAGAATGATATTTTTCCCTCGTATCATATCAAGAGCCTGTTTGCATGAATTTAAATCATTTAAATACTAGAGTATGTTCTAAAAAAGGCCAGCATTAAACATGTCATCCTACACCTTAAGTAGAACTGATGTATAAATTACGAAACAAATATACATA